TCCGCGGGAGAAAGATGAGGCTTTCTACTCCCGTAAGGATTTACACCCTCGGAAACCCTGTACAGGGTCGCTATGGGTCGGAACCGACTCGACGGCACATAACAACAACAACAAGGTGGAGGGTCAGAGAAAAAGAGGAAGATCCCCAACGATATGGATTGGCCAATTGGCAGCATCGATGGACTCAAGCATGGCAACAGTAGTGAGGTTGGCCCAGGATCAGGCAGTGTTTCGTTCTGTTGTGCATAGTGTCGCTATGGGTCGGTACCGACTCGATGGCACCTCACAACAACAACTATGACTATAAATGATAGTCCAATTGATGAAAAATATAGCAAAAAAGAAAATCTTAAAATACCTAAAGACTGAAAACTTTACATGCCAGGAATAATACTATAAATGATGGATGATTTCTCATCAGAAACCAGGAAAGATAAAAACAAAATAAAACAAAACAGTAAAGCAATAACATTTTTAACGAAATTTTATATTCACCAACCAAGAAACTCTCCAGAAATGAAGGTTAAAACAAAGATATTAGGAAATCTGTTGCAAGCAGACTTGTACACAAGAAATGTTAAGGAAAAAACTGGACCAAAGATAATACCTGTTCCAAATTTGGATACAAAAGAAGAAATATAGAATAATGAAAATGGCAAATGTTGTTGTTAAGTGCCATTGAGTCAGTTCTGACTCATATCAACCCTGTATATGGTTTCCAAGGAGCACTTGAGGAGCTTGAACCACCTACATTGTGGTTCAAACCAACACTGCAGTCCAGAGCATTAACCAGCAGGATCACACCAGAACTCCATAACTGGTAAATAGATGGGTGACTATAACATATTATTTATCTTTTCTTAATGCATTCACTGGTCTTACTTCTCTGGAGAGCCCAGAATAAAACAAATACTTAAAATGTTCAATTAATTCAAAAGAAGGCAAGACAGCAGGAAGAAAAGGAATTAACAAACAGTTGAAATTAGGACAGTTGAAATCAGAAACACAAGATGGTATATTTAAACAGCTTGTAGTGGTTTTATTTGTGGCCTCAATGTCTTTGACACCCCCCTCCCCATTGAAAAGTAGTGTCCATGTTACCGCCCCTTGAATCTGGATAGACTTATGGAGGTTTTGACCAATATGATTTTGAGGTTAAGTCATAAAAGTTTATACAACTTCTGCTTGTTCAATGGAACGCTTGCCCTTGGAATTTTAAGCTACTATGTAAGAATTTCAAAAACATTGAAACTGACACATATGTTAGTGTTTTGGTCAATAGTTTCATCTAAGCCTGTCCTTCAGTTATCACAGTTCAAGCAATAGCTATGTGGATAAAGATATCATCTTTGGTTATCACAGTTCAGGCATTAACTTCATGGATAAGGATATCATCTTCAGTTATCAAAGTTCAGGCATTAGCTATGTGGATAACGATATCATCTTCAGTTATCAAAGTTCAGGCATTAGCTATGTGGATAAAGATATCATCTTCAGTTATCACAGTTCAGGCATTAGCTATGTGGATAAAGATATCATCCTTAGCCCCATATGCTCCCTCTGCCAGTTATTTGAGTCATTTCAATTATGCAATACTCCTGCCCCATTTATTGAAATAAACTTTCCTTTCCCTGTTGAATTGCATTAATACCTTTACCAAAAAGTAATTAACCATGTAAGTGTAGGCCTACTCCACCATTCTTTTTTTCCATTGATCTATCTGTTTATCCTAACACCAGTACTAAACTGTCTGGGTAGGGATTCCAATTATAATGCTGAACATAAGAGATAAACATAGGCAATCTTGTCTTGTCACCAATCTCTGAGAAAAGGATGCAATTTATTATTTGTTTTTTAAGGATGCAATATTTAAACATTAAATGGAATTTTAGTTTTGGATTTCTCATATGCCTTTTATCAAAACATTTAACTTAGAGGGGAAATGATACATTGGATTTCATTAGCAAAAGTTCATAATTGTCATAAAGTATAAGCTGATCCTGGAGAGAATATTTTTACAGTTCATCTCTTTAGCAAAGGACTGAATGCAGAACAAAGGGAGCTCCCACCACTCAATAATGTGCGGTATGGTAAAAAACAAGCAAAGTATTAGTTCATAAAGTAGATATATGAATAACCACTAAATACATGAAAAGTTGTTGAAGATAATTAGTCATCAGAGAAATGAAAATTAAAACCAAATGAGAAAGCATTTCATACCAACCATAATGGCTAAAATTAAACAGACTTTTGGCACCAATGTTTGTGAGGGTATAAAGTCATAGTTAGCAAACTACCAACAGATTGCCACCTGTTTTTGTAAATAAAGTTTTATTGGAATACAATCACATTCATTTGTGTATATATTATCTATGAATATTTCCACACTACAATAGCAGAGTTGAGTAGTTGGAACAAGCACTGTATATCTTATAAAGTATAAATATGATGGTAAATCAAAAAGAGTATTGCTACTAGGTTCCAGTTAATACATGCATGGGTTTATTTATTTATTTATTTATTTATTTTAATTACAAAGGACAATTA